TTGAATTTTACATTTAAAAAGAGATCCATTTTCTTTTTGAAATATAGTAAGGAATGAAATACCTTTTCAATAGTGTTTCTTTCATTTTATTAGAGACACAGAACATACTCTGGAATGCCTAATGAAAAGTCATAAATTATTTTTCTTATCATTTCTTGAAATTAGTAATCCTTTATTGAGTCATGAATTGCATGTTGAATATTGAAAGGGTTTTTTTTTTCTCACTTCTGACACCAAATGAGAGGTTTTTTTTTTTTTTTTTTTTACTTTCTGACACCAAATAGGTGGTGTCTTTTGCAATACCATTTCTCCAACTCTCTGACAGCAACTGGGTGTCGACAATTCAGTTCAATTCTGACACTTTCTACCTGGAGTCAAGATCAAATCCCACTGGTTAAAGGGCTCCATCCCATGAGATTACCCCCTTTTCAGATGCCAGTTGCAAGTCCCAGGCCAACCGTACTTCTGACTGACAGGCTATAAATTGGGGGTTCCCACACTCTTGGGTTTGATAATTTGCTGAAATGCCTCACAGAACTCAGGAAGTCACTTAACCTTTGTTTAGTGGTTTATTATAAAGGATACAAATGAATAGCTGGATGAAGAGGTGCATAGGTGAGGTCTGGAAGGGTCCCTAGCATGGAAACTTCTGTCCCTATGGAGTTGGGATGAACCTCAATGTGTTCTCCAACCCAAGTGCTCTCTGAACCCCATTGTGTAGGGCTTTTTATGGAGGGTTCATTACATAGGAATGATCGGTTAAATCATTGGCCATTGGTGATCACCTCAACCTTCAGCCCCTCACCCCTTCCTGGAGGTTGGGGCTAAAAGTTTCAAGCGTGAGCTGAGACTTCCCACCTTATAATCTGTTTAATTGCTACCATTTTAAAACTCTATACATGTATCATTTATACAACAAAGAACTTTTTTTTAAAAAGTAAAGCGAAAAAAATGCACTTGAGGCATTTTACTAAGTAAAGCAAACTTGGGGTGACTGTTGAGAAATTTTGCAATATTGTCATTAGGGAGTGAGTGAATTTATTTGTTCTCTAGGTTTAAACGTCTTTATGTTGGGTTCTCTAGATCAGGCAACTCTGTATGTCAAAGCACCTGTCCCTGGGTGATAGCGAATAGAAATATCCAGGTGGCCTGGGTGTTTTGAGCGCTGATGCTCTATTGTGGCCGCCTCTTCTGGTGTCCTTGCTGTTTTGGGCATTCAGCCGTAAACTCGTGTTTGCCTCCTTGCTTTAAAGTTTAAAGTTATACTCTATTTCTCACGGAGTGAAAGATAAGACTAATTATACTGCCTGTGGGACTGAAGAGAGGAGGTTGACCTTGTCCCACATGCTGAAGGACCTGGGACCCAGAGAACAACTCGACACATCTATTTCCAGCCAGAGCAGCAGTGACTGGCAGGGACACAAAGAGGAGGCGGGTCTGTGAGGAAGATGCCTGGTTGGCAGCCGGGTGGGAACACGCACGTGGCTGCCACATGGGGCCCTGTGTGGAAGACGGGCAGGAGGGAAAACAGGGACTGAATTGAGTCCACCGTGGGTGTGTGACAGCAACTGCTATTCCTACTATGTCTTTAGTATTGCCTTTGTCTCCAGGCCAGTACATTCAAAGAGACAAGAACGAATAATTACAGGGACCAGATGGGACATCCTTGTCATTTTAGCAGGATCCCTACCAAATCCCCAAACAAGGTACTATTGCAAAAATCTAATTTTTGGCCTTCATAATCTTCGGAAGGCTTATTTTTATATTTTATTTTATTTTTTGAGACAGAGTCTCACTTTATTGTCTAGGCTAGAGTGAGTGCCATGGCGTCAGCCTAGCTCACAGCAACCTCAAACTCCTGGGCTCAAGCAATCCTGCTGCCTCAGCCTCTTGAGTAGCTGAGACTACAGGCATGTACCACTATGCCCATCTAATTTTTTCTATATATATTAGTTGGTAAATTAATTTCTTTCTATTTATAGTAGAGACGGGGTCTCGCTCTTGCTCAGGCTAGTTTTGAACTCCTGACCTTGAGCAATCCGCCTGCCTCGGCCTCCCAGAGTGCTAGGATTATAGGCATGAGCTGCCATGCCCGGCCCGAATGGCTTATATGATGAAAACCTTTGGAATTGGGAAAGAATGGGTTACAATTAGACATAAAATTTACTTTTTAAAAAAAGTGTCAACATATTGAGGGTTTTTGTTGCATGGGTGAATTGTACAGTGCTGAAGTCAGGGCCATTAGTGTGCCTGCCACCAGACTAGTATTCATTGTACCCGATAGGTAAATTTTTTCCCCTCACCCCCTCCTACCCTCTCTTCTTCTTGGTTTCCAATAGGGTTGTTTTTAACTCCTTCACTTCAAAGAGCACAGTTTGATCAGAGTACGCCTTGTTCTTTTAGTTTGGCCCTCCCTGGGTGTCCAGGGCTCTGGGGCAGTGTTACTAGCAAATGGGAGAGAAGCTATTAAATTAAACTTGCTTCCTGGGCACCAGTCATAAGCCACATGCTAGGGGAGATAAGTAAGGCATGGTTCTCAGTCTCTGCTAGGAAAGAAAGACATTAAAAAAAGCAGAGCTCCACAATCCCTTAGTCACATTTCTGAAATCCAAAAACCTCATAAAATTGAATTCTTTTTTATATAACTTATCTGGCAGCAAAACTTGAACTGATATGAGTCTATACACACACACACACACACACACACACACACACACACACACACACACACACACCCCTTCTTTATTTATCCCACTTGCTATGAATTTTCATATGTTTTGCTTAAGAAACATTAATGGGGTGTTGCCCTAGATTTCACTGGGGTTGTTATATAATATTGTTGATTGTGCGCCACATTTCTTTTCTAAAATCCCAAAATTTCAGAATTCTAGAACTTATCTGGTGGCAAGGGGTTGGGATTAGAGTCTTTGGAACTGTAATTGTTCCAAACTGCTTTGTCTGGAGGAGACCCTGCTTGGAGGGCACCTGCCATCGTCCAGGACGAGGGCTTAGGCTATGTTGTCTCTGACTATTACAAAGAATTTTAATAAGTAGCAGCCTCAACCTGGCTTTCTCTAGAACCAAGGTCATCTTCTTTTGCAGTTAGGATCCTATAATTTCCTTAGGCTTTTTGAATAATTCTTTTTCTTCGCCGAAAGTGTTCCCTTGCCAAGGACTTATTGCCTTTTCCTATTAGAGAGACTAATACCTCCCAAGTTTCTCCTTATAGATATTGTTTAATCCTGGGCTAGTTTGATTGTGTGTTTCAGAGCTTTAATTATTCTGTGCCCTACTTAAGCGGTAGGGGACTCCATTTGAAATATTAGGTTTGGTGGCACCCAGGAGTCTGCCTGCAACACAGGGAGGTTCTTGTCTTTCAGATAAAATAGCCTTCTGCAGTTTTAAAAGAAATGTTTCTAAATAATGTTCATTCCCCTTCTTCTCTCCTCCTGGTGTTTTTCTTGTAGACTAAGGCTGGCTTATTTAAAGTTTTGCCTTAACAAGCCCCAAGTTCTCTTTCTTTGGGAATAAAATAGCAAGCTCACATCAGAAGGTCCATGGCTGTCCAAACCTCTCATCTGAGTGGCAAAGTGACAAGGCAGCCACTGTTCCCCTGAACTTTTAGGAGGCTGAAACCATGGGGGGCTGGCGGAGACCCCCTTTAGCCCTTGTCTGGTATTTGAGATGTAAATCACTCAATTGAGGGGGTGGAGGCCTCTTCCAGGGTCTTTGAAGAGACTTTTTAGTTTGTAGTATCCAGTTCCGGACACTTCTTGGAAGGGGGACCCTTGGTCCAGAGGAGGGGACTCTAGGAGGGGGTAGCCTGGCTGGATTCCTCCTCCAGGAATCAAAGAGAAGAGCAGGAAAGCTTGAGATTTCTAAAGAAACATCCAGGAAAGAAAAATCAGGATTAGAACCAGCAAATAAATTTGCAATAGTTTTAGTTAACGTTGTTCATTTCTTACCCACAGTGATTAGGAGAGAAACTGATAAAAAGAGAATAAAAAGCTAGTGTGATTGTTTTTAGGGATAGCTAGTCAGAGTGCCTTTATATTATCTGGAACCTCCCCATCTCCACCACTTAAAAATTTTCTCCCCAAATACAATTTTTTTTTTCATAGAAAATGCTGCTCAGTCAAAGAAGAAAAGAAAAAATCTGATGTCTTGCTGAATAGAGATGATCACTTTTGTCTTGTTGGCATACACCCTTACTGAGCTTTTTCTGAGACTATTTTTAAAATGCCCTGGCATTTAGAGGCTTAATACTTGTTTATTTCTTTTCCTTCTTTCCCTTCCTTCCCAAACTTGTTCAGAGCAGAGCCTCTGTTTGGAGACTTAGGGAACAGTGAGTTCTGCTCTAACCTCTTCCGAAGAGAATGTTTAGGCCGAGTAATTTCAAAGTTGCAGGAAGAAGAATCCCCAATAATTTTCAATCTTATATCCTTTACTGCTGTGATCACTTGCCAGAAACATCAAGGAAAGCCCTGGAGATGTAATGCAGGAGGGAGTTGTCACAGGAAGTGTTGACCAAGCTGCAGCCAGTGCCGGGCACAGAGAAAAGCAGGCTCCTCCAGGAAGAGCCTGAAGGTGGGGCTCTGTTCACACTTGTAATGAAGGTCTTGGAGGGGGCTGCAGAGGCCACCCCTTTCTGCAGAGGCAGAAAGCAACCGTTGCCTACTTTAGAGCCCAGTGCACTCTTTCCTGTGTATTGCATGAGTGTGAGAGCCTCAGTTTTGCTGTGGATCTCAGAGGGGAGCTAATTAAATACATTAAGTGACCGAGTAGTAGAGATCTTCATAGTGGTTGATCCTGGTGTGAACATAGGTCTCCCTCAGAAATACAGTCCTCTAATAAATCCACGTTAAGACCCTCAAACTTCTCTTTGTAGCAAAATCACCACTTACGCAAAATTGCCAATATAAAATTATGAAGAGATGATCTGGTGATTGGTGTGATTTTTTTTTTTTTTTCCTTTCACTCCCATTTATTTTGCGTCTCAGATAGCCAAGGAGCACATGGTGATAAAGAGAAGATGTTGCAGCTTTTCCTTGCTGTCTCATGGAGGATGTGTGACATGAAGAGCGTTAGAGAAATTTTCAGGGGAAAAGTAAGTGCTGTTTCAGTGGGTTGAAAAGTGGGTTCTTTTTCCACTCGTGATTTCCTGAGGGTCTGTTGGAGATACCTATTTGTATACACGTATAATATGTGTATATAAATATCAATATGTAAAAATTATAAATTTAAATATATACATAAATAAAAATATGCAAATACTTATAAATATATAATTTATGTTATCTATAAAATAAATTTATATATATAAAAGTTAAAAACTGCTACCCTTTGCCATCAAGCCATAGATCTGGCTTGAAGCCTTTGAAAATTGCCCCCCTAAAGATCTGGAAGGAAACTAATTTGCACATGGTTACAGAATCAGTCAGGGTCATTCTCACAAAAAGCATACAATCTGACATATTTTTCCCATCTCTATTGTCAGCAGGTGTTTCTTAAGGAAGAAATGCTTTCACCTGACAAATTTCCTTGCACAGATTTGAGTCACACTGTGTTATCTTAAATTGCCCTGGTGAGTTAAATAATGTGTTGTCACTGAAGAGAATTTTTAGTTTCTTTGGGGATTGGATATTGTCCAGGTGCTCTCTGAATAGAGATACCCGGGATGTTTTTACCTCATTATTAGAATGAGAACAAATCACCTAAGATTCTTGTCTTGTAAGGGGAAGTCTCTCAACTGATTATTTTCCCTTGAGATAGTAGACAAAAGCTACAGTTCAGAAACTTCTTAGAATTGAAATAGTTTTTAGCCTTTCCCCAATAGTCTGCAATTATAAATAAATCATTTGTTAATCTTAAAAGGGTTGTATTTAATTCTGTATGGAAATATCCTCTGGCAACTCATTTGTGTTGGATATTCTCTCAGGATTTCCATAGATTCTGATCACAGGCTTGTGTTTATGAAAATTCTTTATATAATATAGCCAAGGGCTGAAGAATGAAGATTTTAATTTTATGCAACTCGATTGCTCTCTTTCACTTAAAAAATTGAAGAAATGCCTGTTCCAAAGAGAAAATGTTATTAACTTTTTCTTTGCTTATCAGACATCCATAGCATGCATTGAACTAGTCACATAATGTCATAGAATGAATTATTTTGTTGTTATGCATTGTGATTTTTTTTCTAATTTTATTGATCATAGTTTGTATATACAGCAGGTGTTCAGTATCTTATAAACTGATTATAGTACATACCAATCAATATCAATTGCCCTTTTGATCTTATAATAGCTTTGCACTGATCTTTCATTTAAATTTTTTACAGCTCTACTGAGATATACTTCACATACCATACAATTCACCAGTGGTTTTTAGTATATTCACATTTGTGCAACCATCACCACTATCTACTTAGGAAAGATTGTCATCATTAGCAGCCACTTCTTATTGCCATCCAACCTGTCCCTCTGCCCCCAAGCCCTAGGGAACTACTGATCTACTTTCTGTCTCTATAGATTTGCCTATTCTGGACATTTCATATAAATGGGCACATGTAATATGTGGTCATTTGGACTAGCTTCTTTCACTTAACATAATATTTTCAAGGCTCATCCATGTCATAGCATGTGTCAATTATTTATTCCTTTCTATTGCTAAGTAATATTCTGTTTTATGCAGGTAACATATTTTGTTGATCCATTCATCAGTTGTTAGACATTTTATTTTGCTTATTTATTTATTTTTTCCCAGCTTTATTAAGGCATAATTGACAAATAAAATTATATATACAGTATTTACAGTATACAGCGATGTTTTGATATATGTACACATTGTGAAATGATTCAATCAAGCTAATTAACATATTACTTCACATACTTATGATTTTTATGAAATATGCTTTGAGCAATTTCAAGTATACATTATTGTTAACTATAATCATCATGATGTATAATAGATCTTTGGAATTCTATCCAAGTGGAATTTTGTACCCTTGACCAACATCTCCCTATTTCCCTGTGTTTCTCACTCCCTGATCCTGGCAACCACATTCTACTCTCTGCTTCTATTAAACAGTTCAACTTTTTTGATTCTACATACAAGTAAGATCATATAGTATTTTTCTTTCTGTGTCTGGCTTATTTCACTAAGCATAATGTCCTCCACATTTATCTATGTTGTTATAATGACAGGATTTCTTTCTTTTTTAAGGCTGAATGACATTCCATCACCCCCCCCACACACACACACACATTTTCTTTATATGTTCATCTGTCAATGTCTTAGATTGATTAGATGTCTTGGCTATTGTCAATAATATTGCAATGAACATGGAACTTCACATATCTTTTCAACATATTGATATCATTTCTTTTGGATGTATACCCAGAAGTGAGATTGCTGGATCATATAGTAGTTCTATTTTTAATTGTTTTGAGGAACATCCATACAATTTTTCATAATGGTTGTACTAATCTACATTCTCACCAACAGTGTGCAAGGGATTACTTTTCTCCACACTGTCACAAACACTTGGTATCTTTTGTCTTTTTGATAATAACCATGCTAATAGGTGTGAAATGATATTGTAATTTTAATTTACATTTCCCTGATGATTAGTGGTATTGAGCATTTCTTCATATACCTGTTGGCCATTTGTATATCTTCTTTTGAGAAATATCTATTTCGATCTTTTGCCCATTTTTAAATTGGGCTATTTTTTTTCTTACTATTGAGTTGTTTGAATTCCTTATGTATTTTGGATATTAACCCCTTATCAGATATATGATTTGCAAATATTTTCTCCTATTCTGTAGGTTGTCTTTAAGCTTTGTTGATTGTTCTTGTTTCCTTTTCTGTGCCGAAGCTTTTTAGTTTGATGTAATCTGGTTTGTCTAGGTTTACTTTTGTTGCCTATGTTTTTGGGACCTAATCCAAGAAATTATTGTCCAGACCAAAGCCCTGGAGCTTTTCTCCTGTGTTCTCTTCTAGTAGTGTTATAGTTTCAGGTCTTAAATTTAAGTCTCTAATCCATTTTGAGTTTATTTTTGTGTACGGTATGAGTAAGGGTCCAATTTTATTCTTCTGTATGTTGATAACCAGTTTCCCAACACCTTTTATTGAGGAGATTGTCTTTTCTCTATTGTGTATACCTTCTTTTTATACCTTTGTCAGAGATCCATTGACCATAAATGCATGGATTTATTCTTGGATTTTCTATTCTGTTCCATTGGTTTGTATATTTTTGTGCCAGTTTCATGGTGTTTTGATTACTATATCTCTGTAGTACATTTTGCAATCAAGTACTGTGATACCTCCAGATTTTTTCTTTTTGCTGAAGATTGCTTTGGCTTTTCAGGGTCTTTTGTAGTTCCATACAAATTTTAGAATTGTTTTTTTCTGTTTTTGTGAAAAATACCATTAGCATTTTGATAGGGATTACACTGAATCTGTAGATTACTTTTAATAATACAGATAATTAAAAATATTAATTTTTACAACCTGTAAACATACATTTTTCCATTTATTTGTGTCTTCTTCAATTTCTTTCATCAACATTTTATAGTTTTCAATATCCACATCTTTCACTGTCTTGGTTAAATTTATTTCTAAGTTTTTTTCCTTGATGGTATTATAAGTGAGATTGTTATCCTGATTTCTTTATTGAATAGTTTGTTGTTAGTTATAAAAACACTACTGATTTTTGTATGTCGATTTTTTATCCTGCAACTTTACTGAATTCATTTATTAGTTCTAAATTTTTTTTGGTGGTTTCTTTAGAGTTTCTGTATGTAAGATCATGTCATCTGCAAATAGACAATTTTACTTCTTTCTTTCCAATTTGGATGCCTTGTATATGTTTTTCTTGCCTTATTTCTCTGGCAAGCTTAGTTAAGGAGTGAATTGCCATTAATAGCTTCATTTTTATATCTTCTGGGAATACTTTTGCTGTAAAGAGTAAAGTTGGTGGCCTTCTTTTAAGTGGGAATTCCTGAGAGTAGATGGAAATAGCTATTTTGGTAGAATAATTTCTCATCTGTTCTTCCTACATCACACTCTGAAGTTGGCTGTCTTCTCTCATGGATGTGGTGGACTTGTGTTGAAAATTTCCCCAACTGGTACTGTATAATATCTCTGCTGTAGACAATGGTTAAACTACAAATGTTATATGTAACTATAGACTTTAACTAATAGTTTGTAATGAGTTAAGTTGGGTTGGAAGAAACATAAATGTGGGGATATTTTGGTAGTCAGAGGAGAGAAGATGCTATTGCAAGGCTATAGGAAGAGACTCTAACAGGTGCAATAAGGAAAAGAATAGTCTAGTTACAAGAACCATTAAGGGATAAAATGCCTGAACAAAGCAGGCACTTAGCACACATCCTTGGGAAGGTAAAGACTACAGTAAAAAGTTTATTGAATGAATAAAGGCATGAATAAACAATTTCTTCTTTCACATTAGGAAAAAAATGTATGTATCATGTTTACAACAGTTTGTGTAACATGCTTTTTTGTGTGTGTGTAACATGCTATGTCCACAAATTCTTTGATACTCTTTCCTTCAAGAATTGAAGCCTAATTCCTCCCCCCTTGGGTGTGAGCTGGATTTAGTGACTTGCTTTTAAGAAATAGGTTGGAGTGGAAATGATGGTGAGCAACTTTGAAGAACAGGTCATAGAAAGGCACTGTGGCTTCTGCCTTGGTTACTCTCCGGAATTACTCACTTTGGGGGAAGCCAGCTTCCGTGTTGCTCATGGAGAGGGCCACGTGATGTGGAAATGAAGCCTCCAGATAACAGCCATGTGAGTGAGCTTGGAAGTGGATCCTCCAGCCTCTGTGAGGCTTTTAGATTACTGTAGCCTCCCCTTCCTTCTCCTCCCCTCAGGACCAGATCGACTGAGACCTCTAGCCTCCTCCCCTCAGGACCAGATCGACTGAGACCTCACGATAGCCTCTGAACCAGAAGAACCTAATAGACTATTTCAGGATTCCTCACTTTCAAAAACTGTGTGGGATAATAAACATTTGTTGTTTTAAACTGGTAAGCTGCCAAGTTTTAGCATAATTTTACTAAAAGGATAT